CCACGGGAGAAGGAAACTATAAGCCTGTCCACGTGTCAAGTGTCCCTGTCAGGCCCACCCAAGGAGGGGGCAGCTCCCAGCGGGTCCTGTCCCCTCACTAGGACACAGCAGGTCTGGTCACATCCGGGCTGATCCTTCCCAGGTGCTGCTCTCTGCTCTCTGACACGGTCTCAGCACCACAACGGCTCCCATGGCCACCGGATGCCTGACCACTGGGCACAGAACTACACTCTTCCCCTCTCCCGTACCTGTTTCTTCTCTTGGCCACAGCACATCCAGGTGTCTGGCTCCTGGGCTTCTGGCTGCCAGTGCTGACTGTCTGACCCAGGCCTGATGATGAGGCACAACAGAAAGTCAGCGGAGAGATTTCTTGGGGGCTCTTTGCTCCGAGGGACAGGGGTGACAGAGAGCCGGCAGCCCCTTTCACCTTTTCCCTGCTTCTCGGCTGCCTGACCCTGAACCACCCAGCGTTCTGGGGTCACGTGGCACTGGGAGTGGGGGCTGAGGTGAGGCCTGGGCAGGCAGAGTCCTGGGGTGTTGCTGACTCCACAGCGTCAATGAGTCTGCTCCCTGGGTCTCGTCCTTCCTTGTTGCTCTGGGCCTGGCTCTGGCCCTTGTCTTGCACCTCAGCCACGTGCCAGTGTGGGGAGTGCCCCCTTCTACCCCACTGGGAAACAGTGAGCCAGGCCCTGTGGCTGAGCCTGCCAGCTGCTCAATTCCTGGAAAGGCCACAGATGGGAGGAAAAGGGAGGCGCCCGGGAGGAAGCCAGGGAGGTGCCTGCCTGGCCCTGCTCCAGGCCACTGCCTCGGCCCAGCCAGGCAGCCCTCCTGCCTTATCAGCTGTGTTCTGGGTTCTCCAAGGGAGCAGAACAGGGGTTCTCGCATGCCCTCTTCCTGCTCTGGCCGCTCCTCTGCAGGAACAAGTAGAAGCACTACTTACTGCAGAGGATACAGTCCTTAAATTAGCAACATGATTCACAATATTCAAAAGCTAGAACTGCCCAGGTGCCCCCGGCCAGATGAATGGACAACTGAAATGTAATCTGCACATACAACAGAATATTACTCAGCCTTTAAGGAGAAGGAGACTTTGACCCAGGCTATAACGTGTATGAACCTGGAGGACATTCTTCTATGTGAAAATATGGCAGATTCCAAAGGACAAAAACTATGTGGTGCTGCTCATAGAAGTGTTCGAGAGTAGTGACATACATGCAGACAGAGTGGTGCTGGCAAATTCGCAGAAGAGGTCAAACCAGGGACAAACCCACCACCTAGCGTGCTGATGTACTGGGGTTCACAACGTGCCACACAGGCTCTGCATTCTCCTCCTCTTCTGGAATAACTCACTACTAACCATAGCTCTTCTCCTTCTGGAACGAAACCCTTCTGCTCCTGCGCTCTGACCCCACACTGACCCCAAACCCCCTGCAGCCCCAGCTCTGAGGAGAAAACTGAAATGTAACAGGTGCTCAGTGGGAACAGCACACATGTTTGTTTTCGTTTCGCTTTGCTGTCACCTTAATAGCTCCATGAGAGTGATATCAGAGTCACTCAGGTTGCCTGAGAGAATCCAGTGCGGAAGTATTTGAAGAGAGTTGTCACACAAACACAGACTGCTTAACACAGCAGTTCCCCAATGTGTAGTTTTCCTTTCCAAGGCTTCCGTTACTGGAGGGTGATCTCAGTTCAAAAATGTTAAATTTAAACATTTAGAAATAATTCTTAAGTTTTAAAACAAGAGCTACCCTGAGTAGTTTTCATGAAGTCTCGCACTCTCGCAACATCCCACTGGGGATATGAATCATTGTTCTGTTCATCGTATACACAGTGTATGTGCTACCCTCACATTAGGCACTTAGTAGCCATCACCATTAGCAGGTAGACTCTCATTATCACAGTGCTTATGCTCAAGTGACTTACTTTAGTTAATCATGGTCCTGAAGCACAAGAATAGTGGTGCCAGCCATACAGATATGCCGGAGAGAAGCCGCAAACGCTTTCTTCAAATGTGAGAAGGTGAAAAGTTCCCAACTTACTAGGACAAAACATATCCTACATAGGGTCGCTGCTAAGTGCCATATAAGCATCCACTGGGGGTCTTGGAATGTACCTCCATGCTGAAGGTGAAATACTGTGTGTGAAAACTTGGCAAAAGCTAGCAGTCTGCAGCCTAGAGGGCCACTGTTTTCCCATCGCCCGGCCGCCCTGAATCCCTTCTGGCCCCCTGGGATATCAGTTAATTTATCAGCTCTCAGGAGCTCTGAGTATTCCGTGATGTTCCACTTTGGTGAAGCCCGGAACACAGACGGGGAAGAGGGTGTTTCCCACTGTGAGGAAATGCTGGGCTAATCAAGAAAGCCACACCCTGGAACTTATTTAATTTTGCTGGAAATCAAATCTACTAAAAGAAAAAAATCTCCAGAACCTACATTTTCCCTCATTTTATTCACTGCAGAACTTCTGAATGTTTTGTGTTCTTTTTGTTAGTGACTATTCGTTTTTACAAACTGTAGATCTCAGTGCCTACAAATGATTTCAATCGTATCAATGACATCCCTCGTCCTTCCTTACACCCCTCCCCATTTCCTTCCCCTTGTTTAATGATAATCTACCACCCTTTTCTACCCTACATAGCAGGGAGAGCACATGGTACTCGTCTCTCCGAGTGTGGCTCCTTTCTTTGAACCTAATGATCTCTGGTTCCTTGCATTTTTGTGCAGATGGCTGAGTTCTGTCCTTCTCCTTGACCAGATGACGTCCCGCCGTCTGCACACCACCTTGGCTTTACTCATTCATCTGTCGATGGGCACCTAAGCTGCTTCTGTATCTTGGCTGCTGTAAATGGTGGGGTAACAGAACCAGAGTATGCAGGAAGCCCCGTAGTGTCCGATTTTCACTTCTTCAGGTGCACAGCAGCTGAATCAAATGGTAGCTCTAGGGTTAGTGTTTTGAGGAAACTCCATACTGATCTCCATAGTGGGCTGGACTGACATTCCCACCGGCAGTGTACAGGGTTCCTCTCCCGAATGTCCTTGTTAATATTTATCGTTTTTGGTGTTCTTCACCATCACCATTCTGACTTGGTGGAAATGTAATCTCAGTGCAGCTTGGATTTGCATCTTCCTATTGGCTAAAAATGTTGAAAACTTTCGCATAGACTTATTCACCATTTGTACTTCTTTGGAGAAGTATCTGTTTGATTCTATTCACTCATTTATTGACTAAGCCATTTGATACTTGGTTCTTACATAGTCTAGATATTTATCCTCTCTCAGGACAGTAGTGGGAACAGATTTTCTGTGGACTGTCTTGCACTCTGGTGGTTTTTTCCTTGCTTTTCCCCAACTTTTTAATTTGATTAGGCCTCATTTGTTGATTTTTGCTTTTATTTCTGTGCTGTTGGGATCTAATTCAGGAAAATTTTGCTGTGCTCTATCTTCAAGTATGTGTCCTTTGTTTCTTTACAACAGTTTCGCCATTTAGGTCTTATACCTAGGTCTCTGAGCCATTTGGAATGTATTTGTTTTTTGTACAGAGTGAGAGATACGGGTCTAGTTTCAATTTCTGTACGTGAATATCCCATTGTCCCAGCACTGTGTGTTAAAGGGGCTATTTCCTCCACAACATGCAATTGTGCATCCCCCTTGTCAATAACCAGACAGCCGTAGTTGCACTGGTTTACTTCTATATCCTCTGTTATAGTCCATTGGTGGACACACCTTCTTCTGTCCAATAGCGGGTTATTTTTAACTACAGCTTTGTAGTGCAACTTGAAATTGGGCATTGTGACAGCTCTAGGATTGCTATTTTTATTTCAGATTCTTTTGGCTATTCTGGCTCACTTATGCTTCCATAGGAACTTTGTATTTGTTTCCCTGCGTTTGTGAAGAGTGTCACTGATATTTCTACGAGGATTACATTCAATCTGTAGCTCACTTGGAGAGATAAGGCCAAGCCGGATTCCATGGCACAGGCATGAAATCCCAGCACGTGGGAGGCTGAGAAAGAGGACGGGTGCAAGTTTGAGGACACTTGGACGATAGAGTGAGCTCAAGGACAGCCTGAACTGGACAGGGAGACCCTGTCTGACAAAAACAGAAATAAGGCCATTTTACCAATATTACATCTACGATCCAAGACCTTGGAGGAGGTCGTTCCACCTTCTAGAGTCTTATTCATTTTCTCTCCTCAGTGTTCTGTGATTTCATTGTGAAGGTCTTTCATCTCCTTGGTTATGTTGATTCCTATGTATTTCATTTATTGTTATTTTTGCTTTTCTTGACGATGTTGTTAAGGGGCTCTCTATATATTTTTTTTTTCTGGTGGCAGGGATTGCATCAGAACCTTGCACTTATGAGGCAGGCATGGTGCCATGGACCTAAATCCCCAGCCCTTCCTGAAGATGTTGTGAATGCGCTTGCTTTCCTGGTTTGTTTCTCTGCTAGTTCATTTTTTTATGTATAAAAAAGCCTACTGACTGTTTTTCAGGTTGAAAACGTGTCATGCTACTTTATTCAACTTTGTTTATTAAATCTAAAAGTTTTGGTAGAGTCTTCAGAATATTGTGAGAATCCCGGCGACTGCAAATAAAGATAATTTGACTTCTTGATTTCGAGTTTCTATTGTTTTTATTTCCTTCTCTTGAAATTTGCTCTGGGCAGAATTTCAAATACTACACTGGATAGAAATGGTGCGAGTGCACATCTTTGCCTTTCCTGAATTTAGTGTAATTCTTTCGGATTTCCCCCTTTCAGGATGGTTTGTGGTAAGCAGACACTAGCAGGTGGAGGCATGATCCTGCAATTCTTAGTTCCCTCGGGATTTTTAGCAGGAATGGGGGTTGAATTTTGGTGACGGTTTCTCTGCACCAGTTGAGACGACCCATCTTTGAGATGACTTTTAGCTTTCATTCTATTTCTATGGCACAACACATGCTGATTTACATCTGTTGAACTCTCCTTGCATCCTGCCTTCTCTTGAACTAACTTGCAACCTGCATTAACCCTCCTCTGATGCGGTCACCCACAAAAATGCCGAAGTCCTGAATGCGCAGTTGCTTAGCCTCGATCTCATCCCCTTCCTCCTTCTAATATAATGTGCCCACCCGTCCATGCCTCTGCCCAGTACATGTGCGCTCACCTACACAATCAATGGTTGGGGAAGGAATCAGTCATCAAGGGCTGACTGCAACGTGTTGTAGACCTCGCTCAGCCCCTCCAACTTGGCCTCCAGCTCCTGCGCCATCTGCCACAGCTCTCTAGCTGACTCTGCCTCTGCCCCCTCGCGCAAATGATTTAAATCTTTCACGAGATTGTACACATCCACTCCAAGGGAGAAACCCGTGGAGACCACACCCATGATCCTGGATGCTTTGGTCATGGTCAAGGCGGTGCCGGTAAACGCTCTCTGCACCTCCTGAGCCCTTTGGGGTGAGAGAGCCCCAGGAGTTGTGAGGCGGCGGGCATCGCGTGCTAAGCTAGGGTTGGCGATGGCTGCCCGGCGAGCGCGGATGTTAGTCATCATCTTCTTCCAGTTAGAGATGCACTTCTTACATTTGGGAATCACTTTGGGTGCGATCTTGTGCACCAACACTAACAGCTCCCTCAGGTTGACCTCACTGGCAGACAGGAGGCGATTGGCTTCCGCTTTAGCCCACCACGTGACTGACTCTTCAGTGATGATGGTGGCAACGCCAGTTGCAGCAGTCGCTGCTCCCAGGCCCATCCCAGCTGCCGAGAGCGTCAGACTGCCCCCTGCTGTAAAGGGAGCCAAGAGCAGGCCCATCATGGTCATGACTCCAGAGACAGCACCGGCAGAGCTGGCCACCACGTTGGAGACGGTGCAACCTCTGTGCGTCTTGTCAACCTGGGCAGCAAGGCCGCGGATCTTTTCTATGCACTCCCTAATCTGAGGAAATATTTTCAAAAACTTCTTGCCAACTTCCAGGGCCTCTTGGAGCTCCTTTCTGTCTTCTCTGGTCCTGGCCGCTGCATGCTCGTAAAGAGCCTTATGAAGCATCTGAGCTTCGGCCCTGCAACGGTAAAGGTCCAGGGATTATGAAAGGGATTTGCTTCTCAGGAAAATGGGCTCAGTAGGAGCTATTCTGCACACATCACCAGAGCGATGCGGTAAATCCAATGGGAGTGACTGAGAGGATGGGTAGAATTTTCCCTCAACAGTGAACACGTGTGGTACATCATACATGCTGTGTGGTCCTTGGTCTCGAAATGGGGGTGGTGATTAAAAGTCACCTAAGGAGGGGGTCAGGGATTTAGCTCAGTGGTTCCACCGCCTGCCTCACAAGCTCAAGGTCCTGAGTTCAATTCCTGGTACAAAAAAAAAAAACTCATCTCAGGAGCTCTTGAGTGCTGGGCACTTGATAAGATGCCTTCTTTTCTGGTCAGTGCCATCACTACCGCAGCACAGATAGAGCACAGGCTCTCTAAAGGAACTGAGGGAAGAGGAGATGCAACAATAAAATCTTCTTTCCAAAAATACTGGGATGTCATGAAGAATTAACCTTACTCAAGGAGAAGCTCTCCCTTCACCCTCATTCCCGGGAAGTGCTGTGTGGGCACCTGGAGTGTTCTGCTTGCCGCTGGAGACTGTGTTTCCCTGGAGACTGTGGCCCCAAGGCCGCACAGGCTGAACACACCTAATCTAACAATCCTATATCTGTAATACTCCCAACTCTGAAAACTTTTTTTTTTTTTTTTTTTTTTTGGTACCAGGGATCGAACTCAGGACCTTGCTCTTACGAAGCAGGTGGCAGAACCACTGAGCTAAATCCCCGGCCCCTGAAAACTTCCTTATCGACGTCATGTTTACTATATGTTTGTAGTATATCATGTCTACTTTCCTTGTGTGGAGTTGGTACATGCGCATAACACATCTTAGTTCCTTTTGTCATCTGCTTTCCCTCCCCTCCCGCACCCCTCTCTCCGCCTCATGTTCCCCCTTCCCCCTTAAGAAAGATCCATCTCCCAACATCCTGTTGTCTCTCTTTTATTTTGCCCTTTGTTTATACCTCAGGTTTCTCATATAAGAGCAACAATGCCAAATTTCAGCTTGTGTGTCTGAGTTATTTCACTTAACATGATGTTCTGGAGGTGCGTTCCCTGACCTATGAATGCCTCGAGTTTATCATTCTTTGTGACAGAGTGCTACTCCACTCTGTGTACACGCCCCATTTCCTTATCCACTTGTCCATGGATGGGCGTATAGGCTGCTACCAAGGCTTCGCTATTGTGATTTGTGCTGCTACAAACATCCGAACACCCCCCAGGATGGCACATCCTGGAAGATTCCACACCTGACCTCATTCGATGGGTCCCGCTGAAAAGGCAGGACTGTTAAGAGTCTTGTACAGACTTACCTTCAGGCTGTGTGCGGGAGTTGTAAGAAAATGTAACTGAATTTCATGCTTAGACCTGGGGCCTGTCCTCCAGCTGTCTTACTGTGCAGCTTCCAATATTTCAAAACACTCTCTAGAAAGACAATTTGACCTTCACAAGGTGGTACTGATGGGGTCTTTGGGATCGTTTCTGTCCTCCAGAGGAACTGCAGAGTAAAGGCACCGACCTCCGGGATGGAAAGGAGGTCGCCGGGCTAAGCAAGATTTCCTCTCAAGTCAGATGACTGAGAATCTTCAGTTTTTAATATCTAACCGGTTCCCGTTCCTAACCTTTGATTAGTCCCTGACCTCCTTAGGGACACATCCCCAGGACGGCATCAAAAGAATTCTCTTCCTCTTGATGTCGCTGCTACTTCTTTTGATCTCTACTGCCCTGCACTCTGGGTTTTTCGTTTTGTTCTGTTAATTTTATTTTAGGTACTGGGGATCGAACTCGGGAAGTCCCCAGCTGTCTTTACTGTGTCTAGTCCTTCCCCACCTCTCCTCCAGCACGACAGTCCTGAACAGAGCCTCCCCACCTGCTTTCGTGAGCATCGGTCCAGTATTTTCGTCCACCTCATGAGCTCAGAACTAAGGATGACCTTGAAAACCGTGCCCTCACACTTTAGAGTTTGTTAACTCTGGGAACTTCAGATGTAAACATTGAATCCTCAGCGTGAGAAGGGACTGTAGCTATGGTGTGGCCTGCCCTCAGCTCTCAACCCATTCCACTCCTCTCTGTCCCTCCCAGCTAAGGGTCACCGGATCCCATCACTGCCACAGTAGACCCAAATCAGGACAGCTGGCCATGACCTGGCTCTACCCCGATTCTGAACCCACCTCACTGTCTCTCGACACACCCAGCCCCACTCCTGACCCGGCATCCCAGAATTCAGGATGTCCCTGTCAGATGCAGTCCACCTGACCAACACCTTAGCTGCTGTTAGTTTCACTGATGTCTAACCAAGTACAAAGACTCCTGAGACACTGAGACCCATCTGTATGAATCGCTAGAATTCAACCCTGAAAAGGCTGCATTTGAACCCAATAGCAGAGAAAGTATTTTCCTCTTGGGTGAGGACTTTGGAGGCTCTTAACACTCTGGAATTACACAGCCAACTGTTCTAACTTGGGAAGTAGTCAGTAAGCCATGTTGCCTTCCTGATGGTCAAGAGCTATTCTTTGTAGAATAAAAGAAGATCCCAAGCAGCAGCTCAGAACTTCCCAGTGCCCCCATAGGATCTAGGGAAACCACTACCCACGCCCTCTATGCCTACCGGTGATGGACCCCGGCAGGGGGACAAAACACACTCCTTTGAGCACATATTCTCTGCTGGACCCATGGCTTCCTCATGCTCTGAGGTTTCAGTGCCGCCCCTTCTCACCCTGGTCCCCCTGTTGCAGCCTCAGCCTTCTCAAACCACTCCATCCCAGGCTCGCTTTTGCTCCATCCTGAGTCCTGGCTCTGATTCTGGCCCAGGGCTCTCTGGGCCATTGGCAAAGGTGCTAGCATTCCCCAAGTCGGAGCCCCAGCTTATGCCCGGGCCTTCGCACAGCCCTATCAGATCATGTGGGGAGCCCCAAGGAACAGGCAACTCTCTGTGTCCTCACAGCATAAGCATCAGCCTGGACAGTCAGGGTCCCATCCACCTCTGCCCCTCTGCTCCCTGGACCACAGAAGGATCCTACTGGGTTCATACCGTTCTTCAGACCTGCAGAAAAATGGCTCAAGACAGAATCCCCAATACCACAACTCAAACATGACTAGATTTTTCTCACTTGCCCCAAAGCAAGTCCTCCCTTGTTCACACCTCCAAGGAGGAAACTCTTGGCCCTGTCGATTTCCTGCCTGGCTTTTAAAATTAGGTTTTGCTTGAGCACTTACTGAGTACCAGCCTTATGCCCAGACCGTTTCATGCATTATCTTATTTTTCTTACAATAAAACACAGTGGATGAAGAAATTAAGGCAAGAAGTGGTAAAGTAGCCTTCAAAGGTCGCATAAGAACCAGATGGCAGAAGTGGCCCTGTTCTCCGTGGGCACCCGAGGTCATGCCATGCCAAGGGAACGACATGGAAATTTCCCTCAGGACTTGTGGAGAAGGGGCGCCATCAACCCCAACCACAGGAAGCTCCCTGGAGGAGGGGTGTCTGCCCAGACCGCACCAGACAAATGCAGGTCGAGGTGGCATTCCTTAGGGACAGCACGCAGGTCACCTGGACAGTTCGGCTTCCTCCGTGAAGACCTCCCAGACTCTATCATTGTTCAACAGTATCTGCAGGTCATCTGTGCTCAGGGCGTCCAGAACATCCTCGGTGACATATTTAGTAAAGCTGTTGATCTCTAGTTGGGGACAAAAAAGGATAAAGTTAGGAGATAGCCTGGTGGAAGACCAATGGTTAAATATTCATCTCCCTGAGCAGCTTTCGTGTAGTTTTGGTTGGGGGGACTTTTGTTTTGTTTTCTCAAGCATAAATTAGGGGTCGAACCAATGGTCTTACACATCCAAGTGCTCTTCTACTGGACTACAGCCCAAGGCCTTTTTCATTTTATTTTGAGACAAGTCCCCCCTAAGTTGCCCAGACTAAACTTGAATTTGCTATGCTCTCACCTCGGCCACCTGCACACATAGCAATACAGGTTTGGAACACAACAACTAGACAAACGTGGTATTTTTCAAGGAACCAGTGGTGTTACGCACTGAATTGTGTGCCACAAACTCATCTGTTGCAGCCCTAACTCCCAGTAAGCGTATTTGCAGAGAAAGCCAATAAGGCAGTGGAGTAATTAAAATGGAATGTGGTCATAAGAGTAGGGCCCAAATCCCTAGGACTTGTGTCACTGTAGGAACAGAAGAGACAGCAGATCTCTCAGGAGAGATCTCTCCCTCCCTCTCCTGCTGTCCGGTTGTCCCTCTCTTTCTCTCTCTGTCCATGCACAGAGAAAGGCCAGGACAGACACAGTAAGAAGCCTCCCTCTGCAAACCAGTAAGAGCGACCTCGCCAGAACCAACCCTGCCCACCCTCATCAATGACTTTGTCTTCCAGAACGGCGAGAAAAAGCCATCTTTTCCTTAAGTCACCGAGACTGTGGTGTGCTGGGATGGAGCCCCGGAAGTCTAATACACCAGGCTCTGCCACGGTGCTCCGCAGAGAATTGAAGCCTTTTCAACTCAGAGCAATGACAATGTGAGTCTTTCCGCCCCGAGATGTGGGAAAGTCCCCCACTCGGCTTCCCTCAACCACAAGCCAGGTGCATGCTCTGCTCTGTGTTTGTACCTGCATCTTCCTGATGTGAGTTTCAGCCCCTCAGTCATGTGTCAAAACAGTTCACTGCCTCACCAGCAATGTTGAAAAAGGAAATAGAATTGACAACTTCGGAGGCTATTGAATGGGATAAGGGCTAGTGCTGTTATGATATCATCTAGATTAATCTGACTGCCTCACCAGCAATGTTGAAAAAGGAAATAGAATTGACAACTTCGGAGGCTATTGAATGGGATAAGGGCTAGTGCTGTTATGATATCATCTAGATTAATCTGTGGGACCTAGATAAGTTTAAGAATCCAATTTTCCAATCTTTTAAAAATCATTTTAAGATTATTTTAAATTTTATGTATTACTTGACCTATAATAGCTGGACATATTTCTTGGGTACAGTGTGATAGTTCACAGTAATTGGCATGTCATCTCCACAAACATTTATCGTATCCTTCATTTGAGCACATTCAAAATCCCCTGCGGGAACTACGCTGAAGTACTAAACTCAGAAGAACTTTTCACCCTTCGGAAAGTGACACAGAGTCCGGTCATCGAGTGCATTAGTGTTTCACAGTGAAACAAATCGATCCCCACATTCACTTGCGACAGGTAGTGTGATGGTTGTGAATAATCTCAGACCTACAAGGAGGGCAGGGTTACTGCGCCAGTGCGTTGCTCAAAAAACGTCTGGATTCAGGGATTTGGAGCTTATGGAGTTGGAGAAGAGGGATTGGGGACCAGGATGAATTAACGGGTATAGGGGAACGTGATACAAAATGTGTTTCCTCAAAACAGGTCTGAAGGAGGCTGGTCTTCGCTGTGGGAGGAGGTTATTTCCTTTTGGTTTTGGTTTTCATTTTGTGAGAGATGATGGGAATCAGCTCTCTCTGGAGGCTGTCGCCCCTGGGGAGCAGGTGCCTGTCACTGGCAGGGCTGGGCAGGTGCTGTGCACAGCTCCATGGGGGAGCAGGGAGTGTAGGTGTGTGGCCGTGTGTGTGTGTCCCAGATGAACCTAACAGGGTCCAAGGAGGGGAGAGACCCACGGCACGGAGCGCCCATGCTATACCTGACCCTCACAATACCCTGGGAGACTCTGCTCTCTGTACAGTGGAGGGGAGGGCCTCCAGGTCCCACAGTGTGAGCTGGCAGAGGTCACACCCGGGTCCCCTACGCCCATGCTATACCTGACCCTCACAATACCCTGGGAGACTCTGCTCTCTGTACAGTGGAGGGGAGGGCCTCCAGGTCCCACAGTGTGAGCTGGCAGAGGTCACACCCGGGTCCCCTGCAGTGGCACTCTGGCCCACTCTTCCTCCTGAACCACTGAGAGCAGTTGGGCCCCGCAGGGCAGGAGCTGAGGCAGCTGCTTGGTCACGGGCAGTGCCCCAGGGTCAGGGCCTGGGGCGGGCAGCAGGGGCCTCCCCATGACAGGCCTGGGCCCACCCGAGGCCTTCACTGGGAGCAGGCTGGGCAGGAAGTGACCAGCTGGGCCGTGTCTGGAAGGACAGGACTCGGAAGGGAGCCCCACAGGCCCTGCTCAGAGATCCATACGTCCCTCAGGGGCTCCCCTGTTCCACCCAGCACTATTCCGTAAAATGGCTCTGCCTTGGAGCTGGCCCCTTGGTGCCACCTTGGAGATGACCCCTCAGGACCCCCTCAGAGGAACTCACCAGAGAGGG